ATATGTGTGTAATATTACCTCTCTTTTTAGGAACGAGTTTTACAAGGAGCGGTAATCACATACTAAAGAAGTCCATAATGTAGCAAATTATATTTGCTACATACTTTGATCTTTGTTCTCTTTATAGATAGTTGATAGGTTTTCTTTGCCATGAATAATGTTTCATTTTAGGTAGGAAAGACTAACTCATTATTTGATCATTGTTGACGCCTTCATAACTTTTTTCAAATAAAACATTTGTAATACCATCATGAGTGGTTTCTACCTTTGATAAAATCACCAAATACTAGAAGTTACTACTAAGGTTTCAATTTCAAATGTATAGTAACTTGCCATCTATTTAAGAAAAAATATGTCATTTTTGAAGGTCTTCATTTTTTTTATATCATCTTGAAGGCTATAATAATTGCAATGTCTCATCTAACAAGTCAAAAAATAAAAGTTTTTGACTTGAATCTATTGGCTATTGATTTTCTATCTTATTAGTACCACTAATATAAAGAAATCACAATGAAAAATAAAGATAGAATATAATCTTTATTGAATATTTTTTCTTTTATAGAAAATATTTAATTGACTCTTTATATTGATTTAAATGGATGTTATTGATAAAAAGTTTTGACCTTCTCTATTGCATTTACAAGATTGGTTGTTGGCTCTTATATACATTTACTAATATTATATCTATATTAATGAAGAAGATATTCCAACCTAAGTCGGTACCACCTTGAGTCTACGTCTTCTTTCAATTCAAATTCTTGATTATTATCTACTTCTATAAGATCAGTGATATTTGTCTTCTACCAATTATTTTGTGAATATGTATACTTGTTTATTTATATTTTGTTACCTTTCTTTGAGTGAAGGCTCACTTGTCTAAATTGCTTTTCATCGAGTTCTTGTCCTTGACAACTTATCACAATAAATAAACTTTAATTGCTTCTTTTTAGATTTGTCTCTTTTCTTAGCCATTTTTGCTTTCAGCTTAAGCTTCTCTATATATAAGATTTTTTTTCTTCTTAAAGCAATTGAGGTTATTTTTGGTGTGATCAGATTCACCACACCTCCAACAAGATATAATCATTTCTAATTGACTTTTTGTCAAACTACTTGTGGCAATTGCAACCTTTTTGAATCTAGATACATCTATCATGTAAGTAACTATGTAAATAGCATCATATTGACTAAAGACTTTATCACATTTTTTAACTTTAGTGAACACTTGTATTAATATTGCCTTGCTATCATAATTAAAAATAATTCTTAATATGTCTAAATTAAGAGTATCTTGTTAGTTTTAGATTAAAAAATCTTAACAAGTTGGCTCTCAGTAAATACATCTCTTGATTCCATTGCTCCAAATGTTGTGGTAATAGCTCAAAGGTATACCACTTATTGAAAGTGGAAGACATTTAGCATTTTTCCTTCATCCATGTCTAGAACCTAAGCTTCCAATCTAGCAAAGAAATACCTCCAACTCATTCTAAGATTTGATCCAAGACTATGTTGCAAAGATTGTCTTTTATTATATAAAATGTATTTGCACTTAAGATCCAAAGCTTCCTATAATAGTATCCAAAATTGAAACAAGCTGAAAAGTCATATTAGTATCTATTGTTGGTCCAAAGTCTTAAGTGTGGTCATTATCTAAGTAGTTTGGGGAAAGAAATCAATAATATCAACTTCTAGTATGAACCATAAAAAAAACTACTTGGATACTTGCAACTATCTAAAGGATAAAATGGCAACATGTACCTACAACCACCACCAAGCTTTACAATTCACTAGTAATCATTACAAATCCAATATACCTACTAATAGGAAGATCTTATCAAGTACCAACTCAACCTCATTTCTATGATACGTCTATTAACATTAACTAGTACAAATAAAAAATAAGATAACCATAGAAAACCTTTAGAAAAAATACCTTCAACTAAGAAAAGACACCAAAAATAAAATCCAAAAATCTACATTATATCTTCATCTTCAACAATGTAAAAGCAAAAATTGAAAGTGAACTAGAGCAATTGGCACTTGCAGTTGATGGTCACAAATTGCATAACTTGTGACCATTAAAGACAATTGCAACAAAATGAAATGTGAAAAAGTGAAAGAAAATCAAAAACTCATTTAAAAAGCAATTGGCAAATAGTAAATGTCACTTCAATGCCCTAAATGATCTCCACTTCAAAAATCAAAAACTCCAATGGATTCCTTGGACCTCTTCCATGTAAATTGACTCAAAAATGGTCAAATTTGGACTCCATATGTCCTTGGAGTGAACTCCAAAACTTGATACTTACGAATTCTAGACAAATGTGAGTGTATTTTTTTGGGAGATCTATGACTGCGTTATGGGATCTATAACCGTTCGCCTTTGACCGCGTGGAGTCTGCGACCACAGAGACTTTCACCATATATGCCTAGTGCCGAGGTACCTGTCACCGAGTGTGCCTATGACCGTTTGACTTGAACTGCCGCCACGAGCCGCAACAAGCTTCTTTTTTCTTTTTCTTTTTTCCTTTTTCTCTCTCGTAAATTCATACGCGAATTCACACTAAACCTTGCACTATAACCTTGGTTTGCAACTACAGCTTTGCACTCCAATTCAAAAACAGTAACCAAATGCAAATCAAAAAATCAAAACTGCGCCGCACTTGTTCCAAAACCTCTACTCTGTTTCAGCAACCTGCCTTGGCGCCTTGCACTGCAACCCACTGCCGTTCTAGCACCCAAACTGGCCTGCGCCAATGGTCACCGTCTCGCACCCCAGCTCTTTGTGGCCAAGCTCCGCAATCTAATTTCTACTTATGCACCTGCTGTTCCGCACCCGACTTGCATAACCACCACGCACTGAAATTATCAGCCGCGACCTACAACCAACCTGCGCCGCGGCCCTCCTCGCAATCCAGCACCTCGCAACTCTACCTCGTAGCTCCGCCTCGAAGTTCCATTACTGCCTCAATACCATACTGCGGTACAGTATCCGAGCAACATTACATACCAAATCAACTACACTCCAGTATGGCCGCAATACAACAATACCCAAAACAGATACACAAAAAACACAATATTGCAAAAAAATCACAATCTGCTGCACCACAACACTTATCAAATGAAAGATTATGAATCTACACACAACTAAGTCAAGCTACTTCTCACACCACAAAGGGGGAATCCAAGAGTGCAAGTGTGAAGAATAAAGAAAATTCTAAAGTTTTATTAAAATAGCTAAATCATCATAGCCAAACAAACTCTTACAATAAGTTTCCTCTCTCTCAAAATCACTCACAATATTTGACTTGACAAGAATGTCAAGTCAAGAGGTTTTTCTGTCTTAATATTCAAATCCTAATTGACATTAATAAGACCCATAAATAAACTTATTACACTAAAAAGAATCAATTCTGAAACATACTAATTAAAGAGTTTGATTCTGATTGATTTATGAGTTCACTATATATCTATTCACTATTTGAGTTTTAGATTCAGTTTGAAAGGATTTTTATCAGGTATAATTATCTAATTTAAAATTCTGAAACCTGATATAATCTTCAACACAAAACTAAATTCATCATATTCTTGGATTATGTAACAGTTGTATTTGGAATTTTTATCAATCTAAACTGTCAAATATTATAGATCAATTTTTATAACAATTCAATAATATTATATATATATATATATATATGTGTGTGTGTGTATGTGTATGTGTGTATATAGTTACACATGTAAAACCTTTTTAATACAATAATAAAATTTTTACTCTTAACTCGCATATTTCTTAAATCAATCTCAAATAATACCTTAATTCATAATCTGAAAATGACTAATTACAATAGCTAATAATCTATCAGTAGATTCTACTAGATATTGTAAATACATAAAACATTTTAAGTGTTTAAGGTTTTTGATACTGCAATTTGACTCTTTAAATGACATGATATGTGTATTTTTAAAATTCTCAGATTAAGAAATCACTGATACATTTATCCCAAAACATAAGTGGTGTATTAGTTACAAATGTAGTTAGTTACAAAATTATTAGAAATAAATTTTTATCTTACAAACAGGCTAATGTCGTTAAAGAAGAATTGGTTTTTATTGCTTTGTTTAAAAATAAAACATGGGGTTAAGTATTACAAATATGTTGATATATGCAATGTTTTTATCTTAAATGGTAACATGTTGATATATGCAATCTTATTGCCTAACCATCAAGGATTCAAAAGAATTGTTTTCTTAAAATGAACCTCTCTTTTTTAGCTCTTATATAACAAAAGTTCATGGTCCAACAATATCGTCTTTCTATTTCAAACACACTAATAATTAATTCACCTATTGCCATGTGGATATGTGTCTTGTTAGACCACATGATGGTTTTGAAGGCTAAAATAGCTACAATGGCTATTCAACTATATTGTGGACTATCATCCACAATGTATGGCTAGTTATCAATTTTTGGCATAATGACTAATAGAAATTAATTATATATGTATATATTCTTTTAACAAATTTTTGGTGGCTTTGAATTAACAATTAATATAAAAAAGATAATAAAACAAAGACGTGCTAAACCTTTAATAATGTTTTGTATAAAAAGAAAATTAAATTATGGACATTGTTAAATACTTACAAGAGATGCTTCATAATTTATTTATCTTTCTCGTATACCTATATATATATATATATATATATATATAATATACTGAAAATTACTTTTAGTAGTAAATTATAAAACAGTAATACTATGAAGTGTACAATTTAACATACAATCTTTAATAAAGTAGTCTAATTAGTATTCTACATTATTTTTTATGTTTTTTTTAAACCTACAATATATTTAAGAGTCGTCCTATTTTTAAGATGCTTATGTGTAGAAGTAATATTATTTAAAGTCAAGAATGTTATAACTATATTTAAAATATATATAGCTAACAATAAAATTTTGTTATATTTAAATTTGTGCAATAATATTAGCAATATTATAAATTAAATTTAAAATAATTATAAAGAAATATATTTTTAAATATAGATCACATTCTCTCTTCTGAATGAAAAGATATAGACAATAAATTTGAAATTCTTGTTCTTATAATGGACCAGCGTGTTTCATGTGGGTGGCTCCACCTGTGATTCTATCAATCTCACCAACTCTCTTTCTATCTAATAAAGTCTGATGCTAGCAGGATGATGCCAGCAATGGAATGGGATATGTCGGCAAAAGTGCGACTCTGCACCCGAAATTATGGACGGAGTTAGAGGGAATTCTTTCAGGCATGAGGCTTGAAAAACTCGAGCTTAATCCCTCTTTGGATGATAACACCTACGCTTGCAGCACTGACAAGACAACTTGTGATTATCCCAAAGATTGCCAAGAACCAGTTAAGGCACCAGGTGAAACTCCGCTTGTTAGGTCGTCGAATACTTAGCCACATGAAGCAGGGTATGACAAAAGTAACAGGAATGGAGTTGAGGCCTCCTATAAGGCCAGCCAGGCTTGTCAAAAAGGGAAATGCAATCGCCATGAAGAAGACCACTAGAACATACACCGATCTAGAGAATAACCTCACACAGGGACTACACTTTTTGTTCCATTTTCCTGTGTAGAATTGCTCGATCATGTCAAAAACTGGCATGGAGAAGATCTGGAAGGAGCTCAGACAACTGAACATTACAAAGAGGAAGGTTAAAGCAAGGAATCCTCTCGCAGTTTTGGACAAATCCGCAGCTTGAAGTGAGTACAAGATTCCTGAATTGAGCATCTGCACACGAAACTGAATAAAATCATGTACGAGTTGTAGCAAATTTCAAGATCATAAAATTGTCTAGTTAGATTCTTGTCTAGTATTAACGCAGATTTGCAACATTGCCTTCGAATGAAGAACTTTAAGGTGAGGATAGTTTGCCTTATTTCCAAATCCACGATAACCACCAATTGCTAATGGAAAAAAGCAAAAGACCAGAACCAAGTTTGCAAGTTTTGCTCCCTTCCACATAGATATAGACGATGGCTCTTTCAACGTAGACGGCAGCGTTCCCTGCACAGATGCAACGGTCGTTTTGAGCACACAACACTGCTCTTCAACTACGTTATCTTACTCGCTGTCATAAACTGATGCACATCCATAATTGAGCTGTGAAATAATTCAAATAGTGGGACACCACAAACCTGTATTTCAAGAACGAGGTTATGGCCTCGGAAGGCGAAGGTTATGATCCCAATTGCATTTAAGACGGCAACTGTTGTCACTAACGGACTATCCCCCTTCGTTGCCAATGAATAAGAGATGTCTTGGGGTCGTTTTTTGAAGACGGAGATCATCCAGATTAGGGTAGTGTATGAGACAGCCATGAGAGCTCCAGCTAGTGAAACACTGGCTATGGAGTTCATATTCGGCAATTGCGCTAAGATAAGACAAAGAGCAGAGAATACGATGCACCACTCGATCATTGACAGAGGATTATCGACACACTTGTGGCAGACAGTCAGGTAGAAAAGCTCTAGTGCGCTCCCTCCCACAACCACAAGACCTATGGAGGTCCCTACAGTCAAGTTCAGTACAGCAGGAATTGTCGTGTGAAACCCTATGGTCTGCCCTGCGTAAGCACAGCACATGAGAGATATAGCTTAAATGGTAGTAATTGATGCTTTTTGGACTTACAAAAAGGGTTGTAGATATGCATATGCTAATAATGCAACTCATGCGAGTGAAGAGTGCATGAATGATCCCCCTGACCACTTAACCCTGGAGACATTTTCGTGAAAATTAAAACAAGAGAATAGTCATTTTAGTACCAAAAGCTTCTTGCGAAAGTTCAACATAGTTCCGGATTCGCTTTCCAGGTTCGGTTTCGTGCAGCATGATAAGTTGCCATTTTGTGTACATTTGCCACGTGAAAGCCAAGCATAATACAGTCAAGCCCCATGTCCTGCACAGACAGCAACAAACATCGAAATCAAGTCTGTAGAGATCACGTAATGCGAACATTTGCGAAGCGTAGTTAGTCATATCATTTAAATGTAGAAGTTTGAACGGAATGCGGGGAGAAAAACTAGGCAGCATTGTGAAGGAAGATCACACATACCAGCCAAGGTAAATGAAGGCGAATGGGAGGAATAGAGCCTGATACCCTATCATGGCATTCAAATTGTGGAATGCTGCGTATACCATATTTCCATTGCGGCTCTCGGTCAGTGGAAGCCATGTGTCTCTCACATGGAGTGTTGTGGAATGTCCACCTTCTTCGAGGTAATGTTGCAGATTGTGCAGGCTCCTGTGAAGGGGTGTCCCAATCGGTGAGACGAAATTCGACGGCGGTCTGCCCGCAGCTCTATTTGTGGGACTTCGCCATGGCGACGCTATAAGGTTGGACCCAAAATTTGTTTGGTCGCAGCTGGACTCCGGCGTCATTGTCACAGAAGAAGCCTCTGTTGGTGTGTCGGAAGCTGTAGGAAACGAGAAAGGAGGAGCAGCGATAAAAGGTCTCTCAATGGGCTGCACTGGTGGCGCCATTCCATCAGGGCTCGAAGATGTCGATAACGCTGTCGTTTCTACAAGAGCACGACTTCTTTCCGTCATGGCGATCGAGCCCTTCCTACCTGAAGTGCTCATCTTCGAATGGTTTATCTCAGAACTTATCTTGGTTTCAAGATTTGAACTGCTCAAAAAATATACGAAATTTCTTGCTCGCAGCCTTCAAATTACTGACGCCAAACCATTTCTGATGTCGAAATGATGGAGAAGAATGCTCTTAAAGGTTGACGAAGATTCAGTCCCAAGATTCGATGCTTTAGTTGCAACTTGGCAGATGCTACGAGCTGCCAGCTGAACTCAGCAGGACGCCAAAATTATAATTTGTACAAGGCTTCATAAATGCGCACTTTCATGGTTGGCTAAAATACGGTGGCACTTGCAGAATGTACTACCTACACACAACGCCACATGGGCCTCGTGATCAGCACGGATCCCATCACCAGGCTCTCTTATCCTTGACAACTGCTAACACCCACTCTCAAAGACTTCACAGGCTCCTAAAGGTAATGAGAGTTTATGTCATCACACATCGCTCTTAGCTAGAATTATCTCATTCCTAGAGGTGTACACTGTCAAGGATGCATACCTGACAATAACAATCGACTGTCGAGGAAACTGCACAGTTTCCGGGTCACGGATGGATGCCGCAGTACTTTAATTTCCCTTGGGATCCACAAATTGCAGGCATGCAGACACGATTCTTGAAGAAGCAAGCAAACAGTGACGCTCGATTCCTGCGATATTCTGCTTCTAGGTCTTCAGGGGCCAACAGTAAAGATCGTTGCCGAATCTTTAGTTCAAACTAACTTCACTAGAGCAAACTTTAACTGAATTCATGGCAACAACTTCCATGTGAGTTTCAGAACTTGGAAGACCCAGAGCGCTCTCAACGTTAGGTACAATGCTGTGACTGTAACATGTGTGGGGGTCATCGGGATGGTCCCTGCGACCCAATATTTATGACAATCTTGTTGAAGAGTCAAAATATAAACATTTAACTTAACTTTCTGGGGTAGAATTTACAAACAGCCTTGAGTCATTAGGATGTGTAGAGGCTTTACAGAAATATGCTGCCCACAACTAGCATGAACTTATACTACCACAAATATAAGGCACCCACTGAGGTGAGATAATGAGAATCTGAGAAGTTCCAAGAAAACCCTTTATCTTCGGCTGATAAGAATTATAAGCCAGTTTCTTTTTCTGACAGTAAGTGCAATATGAGAGCTCTGGGCTGCGTTGAGCGCTTCATTGGGCATATCTTTTCTTGCCCATGCAAACGGTTCATTGATCAACAATCAATAAATATTCAGTTAGCAAGATACCAACCAAATACCATAAAGATGCGAAGAACTCGCTCGAAATTGTTGCGCAATCTAGCATGCATGCTGGAATCGACATTAAGACAAATAAGATCTGCCAAAGCAGAAACGGAGGACAAAACTTGGCATTTGACATGATCACATGATCAATCTGTACTCTGTATTCATTGATACTTCACACGATGTCAGAACGTATTGCTTATTTCGCCCTCCACTAGCAGGTTGAGAAACGAATGTTTTAGATCAAACTCTAGGCTCAATCTTTGAATGCAAGTAAAAGGCCGACGTTGTATTTCAACCGGAATTGCCAATGTTGGGGGCGTGAACATACCTGGCTGATGTAAAACACACGCACAGTAGTTCTGAGTGCAGACTTACCCAGAAAGTTTCCAATTATGCCCAATAACTCCTTCACAATCCTCACGTATCGGTTTTCCAGAAATTGTTTCCGGGACAAGATCATCTAATAAGGATCTCACTGCATCGACATCCTTTGTTTTGGGGAAGTCTGTATCGCTAAAATCCCCAAAATTAGTTACTCAGCATCATCTTCTTCAATAGCATCATCTGATGACATGGCGAATCGCCGACATTTGGATTCATGAAAGCTTCCGAATCACTAGTCAGTACAAAACTTCCAGTATTCAGAGAACAGGATGAGAAACCTAAGAAGTAACTGGATCCACACTGTCAACTCTGTGCAAGAGATCAGATGCGGCACTCTTCTTCAGCCTTATACAAGCCCTGCCGACCCCTGTTGATGTCATGGTCTCGCTTTATTTACCTCTAGTTTGTTTTGATCGACTCATCACTGTCTTCTCGCGTCGCTTTTCTATATTTCTCCCAAATTCATTGTTGCAATGACGCCGTAATCTCATGGTTGCCAAAGCGCAAGTCCAACTCTACGGCTTCATGACTACGGGACCAAAATTTTAGTTCAGAAGGATCATCAAGGTGCGTGGCGACTCATCAGGCACCAGAGGCAATTTTGAAAAACCGCCAGTGTTCATCATTGATTTTTTCCAGAAGAGGAAACATGTAACTAAAAAAACATGAAATATACAGCGTGTCACCTGCTGAAAGTTTTAGTTCGAACTGTAACTAGATCAACCACGGTCTGGAAAAGAATTTTACAGTGCACTTGATACCCTCATGTCACCATCATGGCACATCAGTGTTGAAGATATAGTTTGGATTTCAAATAATAGCCGGGGCCACTGATTGGTGCATCCAGTTTCGTTCTTGAATCAAGAATTTTTGAAGAACGGCTTCACATCTTGTACTAGACGCAGAACACACTAGCATACTCTTGAAAGTGGCTGAGAAAGAGCACCTCAAGGTCATCTCTAGCTCATATTTTTAGTTATTAAATCATTCTATTTTCAAAAGTGAGCACTTCCACAATGTCCAGATTGACCATTCTATTCAGCCAATTCTAAGTGCTCTGTGGATCCCAAATAGCTTTGACCACCGAAACATCAAAAGCCTCTCCCCGCTGTTGCTCAATCATGATCTTACGTCATCACCAGCTACATACATCAGGCAAACGTAATTGTCAGGTTCTATTGACGCTGTAAAAGAAACTACGTCTACTTAAGTTTTAGGGAAAGTTGACATGCTGCCGGAATTCTCACGTTCTTTCAAACAGAAACATCAGTCTAAAAGAATGCCAATTTACTGTTCACGGTAGAACAGTTCAACATTGTGAAAGACAATTCAGGCTGCTCGAGACGAGCAAAAATTCGACGCGTTGATCAGTACTGGATGATAAAAAGAGACAGAAGTACACAAGATTACAGAAAAGACTTTGCCGATCCAATTACCTCTTTCGTACTTTATTCTTCATATCTGATGAGGATACGAGGGGGTTGCTATGCCAGTTTCGCTTTCGCTGGTTTATAAACCAGTTGTTGACTTGCTTGAGCTCCAATCCTGTCTCCTGTATTAATTGTTCTTTCTCATCCTCCTGATTGCATTGTGTCCCGGAACAAAATGTTACTGGGCGTTTTGATGATATGCTAGAAACGTCATAAGCCACGCATTCAGAAGAGTCTACCGGTTATGCAGTCTGAAAACAATAATTTAGAGGTGCAAATTCCACAGTTAAATAACGTTGATCATTAATAAGCATATGACCCCTTACAATTTTTAATTTTTCCTCAACGAGGTTATTCGCAAAATCTCATCCTTCCAAGCTTGAGTATTTATTGATGTAAATCACCAAGAAAAAAAATATATATAAACCAATTTCGATGTATGCATATAGCAGAGGTTAATTGGTACTTACCGTTGGGTAGGGCCATTTCGAATGTGCTTGCCACCACGCCTTGAGGACAGTTGTAGTGCCCTCAGGCAACTTCCCAGCCCTCCGTTTGCGCAAAATTTCCTCACGAACGTCCTCTATTTTAGATCTGTAGCCCTGAAGACAGCAAGATGCTGATTCAATAAAATCGCTCAACTCTATTATTTATGCTCCAAGAAACAGTAATCTGTCCTTTTCCAAAACGGTTGACGTTCAATGAAAACTCGCGACAGTTTCGTAATGAGATGCGACAATCTAGGTGAATTTATATATATGCTAAACTTGGATAGGAAGGAATAATAGTCCAAAAAGGACTCAATTGATATTAGCCAGAGGTATGTTTTTGCCTGTTTGAGTTCATGCTTGAGCTCCTGGCGCACCCGCTCCATTAAACTACGCTCCGTTTCAGTTGGCACAAGAGGACCATAGCCCCCACTGTCATGATAATCCATGCTTTGGTCGTAGGCAGTACCGGCATAGTCACTGTCATAATCCTGGTCATCATCAACATCTGACATAGTTGCCCCCGATCCTTCTCCCGGAGATACTCCTAATTCAGGCGCATTGAACTGTCGATTACTGGTCATCTTCAGGCACATACAACATGAGGCCAAGTTATAAATTGGTCCAGTCACGACAAAATCGTGTGCAACTTACCAGTGAGAGCATGAAGCGCTTGTTCCAGCTCCCAGCATCCTATCATTGCTTCTGCTACGTCTGTGTAGACATGATGTTGCAATACGTCCTTGAAATCACCCAGTAGGGCTGTATATTCGGTCTGCAAATCGTCAAAGTGATGATAGTTTAATCACACAGCTCATGAAACCCTGACATTTGATGAAACTAGAAACAAGTACCATAGCAGTTGCTACACATAACCAGCAGGGAGAGATTTCTTATAGATTGTGCGTTCGCTCGAAAGGTAGTCCTAGAATTTGGGGCACAGAAAGTAGAGGTTTTACCATGAAGCGGTCAAGCTCCACTTTCTCGTCTTCTGTGATGTCAACTTGGTCGTGGAGAGCTCTGTACTTCTCAATGATATTAGGTGCTTGAGCCAATTGGGCTTCAATGCTTGGAAGTTGATCAACAGGGGTCCCAACTCGAAGGCAAGCCGCATGATTCATGAGCATTTCTGGATACAAGGGATGATTTACTATCAGTGCTCGGTTTCTAATCTCCTCCCATTCCGCTTTATGCCTTGCACCGTCCCAATCAGTCTGCAGCAACATGACATGCCACATGGTTCATGAAATTCATTCCGGAAGAAAACATCATACCTTAGAAGGAGATGACTAAACTAGAAAGTGTCTACACGCATTCAGGTTACCTTATGTGTTGAACATGACATGCATCTTGTCAGAACTGAATAAAATTCTTCTCCTCAATAGATCAGTGAATGGGGGCAAATCACTTTACAACATCTTATAGGGGTTGCACGTATTATCATGCATGGAAAAGACGAAATCTAACTCAAGTATGTTATCCTTTTCTGAAGTTCTGCTGCGGTGTTGGCTGCAGTCTTGATATCGGTGAACTCACCCAGGTCTTCAAACGAATAAATCAAGTCACCCCAGCTAAGACACTGTATGCACCATTCTTTTGAAACTACTGGTTTCTCTTCCAAGTAAAACGCGAAGTTTTATAACAGTAGGTAATACCTTTCACTAGTTCAATAAGTTGATTGACTTACTCTGCTAAACTTTGCAGACTAAATGGGATAGTTAGTGCAGTTAGAACTTGCTAGATGATTACCTGGCTAAGGAAACAGGAAACGTTATTTTCAACTTTACAAATGATCCTCGAATTGCTCGTTCAGCACTTACCCTGCCATAATCTCCAGCATATCTTGCCCCACCCAACGAAGGATGCAACTCCAGAAACCTCTGTCCATCTCTTCCGTGTGCCGCTGAAAGATTCAGCTCTGTAGCCATTCGAAACTGCGGCCGATCAACACCGAAGTCATTATCCTTCCCATCAAGTTCGGGGCCTGGTCGATGTTCATGACCAGGACCATGCATGCCAGTACCCTGCATGGATAACCAATGAGTGTACGTATTCTGATTTAGAAATGACGTAGCATTACCGTCGCCCGCATGCATTCGTGTGTTGCAAACACACGATTGTCGGCCGTTGGCTGAACAAACAGGACACCATTTCTCTGATTCACTCTGGCAATTTTCAGTACCATCGAGCGATTGATCAGCTTGCTGCCTTAGCAGAGCACTGCTTAGCCAAGTAGGGGGGCCACAAGCTCTTGTATCGCTGCCCTCATTTTCAAGAAGATGTCGGTGATGATCTTCATCTTCTGAGTCCCTCAGATGATCCTTCCCTTTTCTCGCTTCATCCTCAATCTTGGGCAGAGGAGCTCCATCCAGCTGGTTCCTCAGGTTACGTGGGTCTAGATAATGTTCTGCATGATCCCCTCCAAGAGAACTCTGCCTTTGTGTGAATCGTGAACTGCCCCAAAGCTCAGAAAACTGCTGGAGAGACCCGTCTTGCGACAAGTCATTGTCGAACGTCATACTTAGAAGCGCCTCTTTAACCAAAATGTGAAAGTCTACAGCACTTGCCAATTGCAGTACCGTAACCCTGTGCATACGATGCACAGTAAACCACGAAGAATCTGATTTAGCAAGCTGCAATATAGTTTTCGTCTTGAGCAAAATGTGAAGGTGATTTACACTTCAGGATTTGCACGGAATTTTTTATGATGATCTGCTTTATGCATACTGTCTGTGATCATATCACTTGAATCAGATTAGTTAACACAGTTTATTAGAGCAAGATTATTCAATACCGTTAAATATATTCGATAATCTCCATAAAATACAGAAGGTTCTTGATTGCTCCTCTGTTCTTTAAAATCTGAATGCCAAATGCGCTATGTGTCAGCTCATCGTAGCAACCTCAACTGTGACATAGATAGCCGATCTTGATTTACGTAAGATCTGGCTTGCGTACATGCGTCTCGTTCAAATCAACACAATGACTAAAACGTCAAGACCAACAATGAAGGGCTGAATGGTACGTAACCTTATGATAAGGTATTACGCTCCACAGAAAAATATGCGCCGTGATGCAGTCACAATTAGTGATCACAGTGAAACTTAGCTCTGAGAATCTTAACGGTCTGTGTGTCTTGTTTCCATCGCACGCGCTCATGAGCATTCGGCGTCGATGAAGTAGGGAGAGATCACTACTGAGTGAAGCAAGCCCGGCAGACAAGCCCTTCAAACCGTCAATTAACTTCGTTCCATTCATCGCAAAATCAAGAACACCGCAATGAGGCTGCATCTTTTTATCACATCAAAGCTGTACCAACGCATACTGCAACTGAACTAACGTCTCTGTCAGGGTACGTCGCCCTTCGCCGACTCACCAGCACACAGTCCAAGAAACTGCGCGCAAGATGGAGGAATTCAACACGCGACCTAGCGCGATTAATCCATGAGCAGTCGCGGATAAAAACCACGGAGGAATATATATGTATATATATGTCGTACCTGGGAGGCGACGGGTTCGGGAGAATAGCCCCGGCGTTGAATTGTGCTTCAAGGGCAAGAGCGACGAGAGCTGCAGCGAGAGAGGGCGGAAGAAGGAAAGGAGGCAGAGGGAAGAGGAGGGAAGGCAGGAGGAGGATGAGGAAGGGGAAGCGAGGGGCAGGGTAGTGAGCAGGAAGGCGACAATGTCCATGACTTATGGGGGAGAGGGGCACGCGATGAGATGCAGACGTTGCGATGAGTTGACAGGGGGGAAAATGCATTGAATATGGTGCCAGGGAAGGGCAGGGCAGCCAGCCAGCAGCAGCAGCAGCGCACAGCTGCATTAGGAAGGAGGGGAGGGGGCTGCTACTCTGGCCCCGCGGCGGGCTTGAAAGTTCTTCGATTAAGACAGCCCCCTTACCCCTGGCCACTCCTCCCCTAGCGAGCCACTGTTGCCCCCGCCCCCTCCTGTCCTATCCCGGTCGCACCCCCCCCCCCCCTCCCCGCCGAGCCCAACACCAACACTACCACAATACATACTCACTCACTTACTCCCTCCCTCCTCGCCTCCTCTGCTTACCTGCCCGGCCTCCTTCTTCCCTTGTCTCCTCCGTGCATTGTGTTGTTGTTGTGTTGAGGCCCTTTCTTTCTCCCTTTCCCTTCTCCTTCCCTCCCTCTTACACAGTTGCCATGTTTCATCCAATCTTGTGTATGCCATGCTACAGTGAAGTTCTTAACTATCCAATCTTCTAGATCTATTCATTGTCATGTGACACATCATAATATTTCTTCTATATTAATATTATTCATTTGCTTGTCTTTAGGTTATGAAAGAGGTTCTATTTGTGTTTGAGATTTTAAGATGGCATTACTCTATCATTAAATCACTTTCAATCATGTCCTTCATCACTACTATAGTGATTTCATTGCTCCAGTTAATAGCTATATACTTTGTAATGGTCAAATAGGCACCTTTTGGTTTTTTTTTAATTATAAACATACAAAATCATCAATAATTAGATTTAAATAGTAGCCAAACCATATTGTGTTTGTAGAAATAGAAGAAGAAATAATTTATTTAGTAATACATTTTCAAAAAGTCTTAACATAACATGTTTTGTTTTTCTTAAAACTAAAAAAATCAACACATTATTATTATCATCATTTTATTGTTTGTATTTAGTCTTTATATATTTTTACGTTTTTAACAAATAAAATAAAACTGTACTAGCCTATTTTCTATAATAATGAGTAATTTGGACCTTTGTGTTATTTCTAGTTGTCTCAATCAAAAGATAAAGATACTTTTATATTAAAAAATATTAATTGTATTTTCATGATTCTAAGTCCTATCCAATTAGAAAAATAATTCATTTCATTAAAACTTAAAATTGTTTCTCTTATGCATCAATTTGCACTATTTTTTTTTTTTTTTGAGAGTTTAAATTTTAATTTAGCCTTGATTGAGCACATCTATGTTTAAGGATACTATATAATCTAATTGAATCCACTTCTAAGATATGTATCTTATTACTTGGTTCTATTAAATGAAATATATATATATATATTATACTTTATTTATTAAATATATTTAAACATAAGACTATTATGTTTTATTACTTTTAAAAAACTAGTATTGGTGTATATGTATATATAAATTTTTTATTTTTTATTTTTACATCATTATTATTATTAAATTAATTATGATAAATATTATTATATTATGTATTTTTTAGGATTTTTCAGTAATTATGAAATTATTTTTGTGCATTTATGCTTTATTCTATTCTTATTAGAATTATAAATTTGAACAAAAATTAGCCAAAATATTGATTTTTAATCTGTTTTAAACTTGTACATAATTAGTGTATTTTTTCAACAAACTAATAATTATTCATATACTTTAACATATATTTTGATGAAACATTCTAATTTATATTTTTTATGATAATAAATTTAAAATCTATTTTAAATTTTATATGTTTTTGATTAATTCTAAATTATTAATGGCTGTTTAAATAAAATATAAGACATATTAGCACTTTTTATTCACACATGTATATATATATATATAAAAATTTGAAAGAAAATTTTTATATTTTGTATTTTTTAATTTTTTAATTTTTAACCTTTATAATTACATTCTCATTATCATGCTTCTTAGATTTTTTTTTACTTTGTATAACTAATAATTAAAGTATTATATATTTATCACTTTAAAAAATCTAAGATTCTTATATATTTAAAATTTAATATATATTTAAATATATCAATTAATATAATATTATCTTTTTGTTAATATTCTGAGTTTAAAAAAATTATTTTGATATAAGGTCATCAGATTTAAATTCAATATTTTTTATTTTTAAAATTAATATTAATATACTCAGTCATTTTTTTTTTAAGTATTCAAAATAACATGTCTAGTCTTATTAATTAGCTATATTAACTAAGGGTATTTGAAAAAAATAACTCAATAAAAATATCCAAACCAATAAGATTTAAGTAGTAAAAGATAGGCTAGAAGTATCTAAATTACATAAGAACTAAATCAAATTGTTTATGAATATAGGCTATTTTGTGGCTTTCTACTTTGTCTCTCTTCTAGATTGTTTAAATATAAGTCTAGTTTTCATAGCCACTATTAAAGTTGAGTTGTATGAAGTCTAATTCATACTAGTAGTTAGTACAATTCTTTTCTTAATGTAAATTCAGCTTATAACTTGTCAATTTTGATGCAAAGAAGATTAAATTGATATTTGATAAGAAGACTTATCACTTAATATTGATTTGAAGTGAAAACAAATGGTCTCCAAATTAAAGCTAAGTCCACAAAAAGACTTCAAATCCATCAAATTTTAGACTTGCTTGTATTCAAAGTATTATAATTTGAACTTATAGATCTTTTAGAAATAAGTTTTTTTTTATTATTATTATTTTGGAATCATATATTACTAACATATATATATTTTTATAGTCCAAATTACTATCTAATCAATGTAAAATTAAAATTTAACATTTGGCAACTATGCTTTAAATTTAAACTTTAACATCCATAATTCTAATTGCAATAAATGCATAAATAACTGATTTCAAATTTATATCTAAAATAAAGTAAGAGTTATCCATACAGTTATGCTTGTACTTGTAATTTTGAAGCTATTCTTGACCACCAAAATCCTAAATGCAATATCACCAACTACATAAAAGAACCTTTGGCATCTTTTGTACTACCACATGTTTTGTAAATACAATTGATTTTTTCAATGGCGAACCTTACAAGAGCATTTCATTCTTATTCCAAAGTTAATTGAAAATCTATTCTATCTAAACAAATTTATTTAAGATCTTCTATACATCTTCTTTTATAGATATAATAAAATTTAATTATTAGTGTGCCATCTAACTTTATCCAAAAGACCAAAATATCTAAATAAAAAAATGGTATGTGACCAACTACTCTTGTTTATAGCCTTTGTAATGCTATTGATCTTAATGGCAAAATCTACAAAGGTGCTGAGCTCAAGTTATTCAAAAACAACCTTCAAGTTATTCAAAATCACAAATAATTTATAACATACAATATGATAAAATAATAAACTTCTTTGATGATATATTACTTATCTTTTAATTTTGGTAGTAAGATAATTTTATTGATATCCAAGCATTTATTTGGTTTTGTGACCTTCACCAACTTACAACCAAATCCGTTTATATTCACTACAAATGCATGATGATATTAGTAATCAAATTTAACATTCTATCTACCAATATATTTTTTATGAGTAACTTTCAAGTAAGATTATTTAAATAAATATGCATTTCCATTTTTGGCCTTTAATAAGATGCCTTATTCAATGCCTTATACTTTGCAAAACAAGCCAAAATAAATTATTTAAACAATGCTGAACTTCCATCAATCTTTTATTTAATACTTTATGCAAATTATATCATGTCTATAACAAAATTGGCCATATTTAGCTACAATGCTTTTCAAATCAAATAACTCAATACAAAAGATTTAGAATCACATTTTTTTTTTTTAAATCATGGATTTTTGCAATAGTATCATCACACAAACAAACTTAATTCTATTTATAATGCAAAAATTTATAATGCTAATAATTTTTATGTATATTATACAAGTCTTTTAACTATTATATCTGTATGTATATTTTATTTTGAAATCTAAAACTAAATACTTTCTTTAATAATATTTTCTACAAAGAATAAATTACCTTGATATTGGATTTTTACTTGGTCAATGCTATTAATTTTTGCTATGTTAGCCTTATACTTAAAACAAAAAGCCTAAATTTAGTTATTTCCTTGCCAAAAATACCTATATATAATTAGATTATAAATAAATTCTATAATGATATGATAGAAAAAATTACAAGCATGTACTTACTCACTTTGATGTGCCAACAATATTCTATACTATTAAATTTAGAATGCAAACTTTACCATCAAGAATTTTTCTAGTGCCTCATTGATAACATACAAGACATATTGATCACTCTTATCATATACAAATTTATCAACCTTACCTCTATAGTAGAAGAATTCTTACAAAATCACCTATATCTTATATATGCATTCATACAAATCCAATTTTGATGGCTGCTACAATTACTTCAGATTGCCACCTTTCTATCATTATAATTTATATTAATAGTAAAGAAAATACCAAAAATTTATCCAATGGAGATTCTTATATCAATAATTTTATTTAAAAGATGTACAATGTCTTTGACTTCTTCTTCTAGTATCTTTTTTATTTAATATCAAGATAGCAAATAGATATATTGTTTACATATTAGGCCTAATCTATAATGCTACTATCTACATTCATAGAACTTTATACAAGATGAGATTTATAGTGATTAAAAATAAAGATAAGTTATTCAATTATAAAATTTATATTGGTCGACCTTTTTTGAAAGATATTCATGTCATCAACTACTTTATTAATGATCAAATTTATAATATAAGAGAAAAATAAATAAAAATTATTAATATTAATCATCAATTTAATTTCAAATCTAAAAAAAAATTATGTTATAATATGGTTGAAAGATCCATTGAAAAAAGAGAATCTATACTATTAGATGTCAAAAATTTCCATTAGTTAGAAATATAAACTTTACTATTTTAATGAATTTCAATTATTCTATAATATTAATCTTTCATTTTCTAAAAAATATCTCAATAAAAAAAAATTAGTACATAAATATCTTTTTAACATCAAAATCATCAATTA